GGCCCCCTGAGCTGCTAGTGAGGATGTCTGTTCTAGAAGAACCCGTTGCTTTGGGATGAAAGATTATATCATTCCCCAGTCAACAGTGTTGCTAATTTATTCCCCTGAAATATTTGGAATTTGTTGGTCCTGGGAATGTTGATATAGGATGGGACAAATATCTGCTCTCAGAGGTGATGTGGTACTTTGTCAGCGGAGCTTTCTGTTGATAAGTTAACATGTGCCTCAAAGACCAACTCTGTGTAGCTTTAAAAGTGCACAATATTTTATTACTTAATCTGCAGATACATTTTATTTTTAAACCAGAATAGAAAAGAATTACACTTAAGATATTATGGTAGTTTTGTTAATACTTTTGTGCATGGTTTTGTGTGTGTGTGTGTGTGTGTGTGTTACCTTGCCTTATGTGGGTATTTTCTCTCTTCAGCATTTGCAGTGATTACTGATTCCAAAGACTCTGTTTCAATTACATTACACCTCTTTTGTATTATGTCTTACTGTTCTTTAAATCTCACTTGAATGGATTAAAGGTATCTGAAAAGCCCATTTAATGTTCGTACAGCACTTGGAAAATGCAAAGTGCTGTAAATGCTAAATAGGATTAATACAGCAGAACCTATGTACTATTGCACTAATGAATGATGAATCAATGCATCCCATAACTGGCAAGTAAGTCAACGAACAAATAATTTTTTAAACAAAGCTAGTGCCTCAAAATGTACTTTGCTATAATTGAATTATAGTTCAGTTTTATGTATGATCTGTACTATTCTATATTATGTGTACTCTGAGTATAATAGTCAAGTAAATGTTAAACAGCATTTTGTAAAAATAAATCTTAGTAATGCAAGACTTGTCAAAGATTTAGCAGCAGTGTGCTGTACAGAAGTGGACAGAGACTGCTGCTTTGGTACACACTGTAAAGTGCAAAGACTAATGAGTAAGGATGAATGAGGTTTTACTGTAACTGTTTCATAGGTGGGATGTTATTCTGTTTTACAGATAAATTTAGCAACTTGATAAGGTCATACAAGAAGTAAGTGGAATAGCCAGGAATGGACCCTCGCTCCCCTGACTAACCATTGGACCATGCTGTGTCCCTTAGCACTATTGAGAAAATGGTAAGACTTTACAATGTATAAATATGATCAAACACTAAGTCTTTTGACTATTTCATATTAACATTGTAGTGGGGAAAAAACAACACTTAATTTACTCTACCCCAGGGGGAAATAGAAAGGAAGATCTTTTTTTTTACTCTATAAGGGGCTCAGCATCTACCATGATGGTGGGTACAGTGTGAGAACTGAATAGAATGCAATACAATCTAGGTCACCAAACCTGCCATGAAGGGGGAGCCTCAATGAAGTCAATGGGGCTCCATGTGGGAGCAAAGTTGTGACCATATGCAACAAGTTGCAGTAAAGGCCTATGGGCCCAGTCATGCGCCACTGAAGAAAATACCAAAGGTGCCATTGACTTCAGCAGTAGTAGTACAGGATCCCGAAGGCACAAACCAGTACAATAATATACTAATGCCTAGCTCTTATGTAGCACTTTGTCCAACAGCAGATCTCAAAACAATCCATTAACAAACAGAATGACTTATGGGTGTTACCCCCTGTATACGTCCTGGAACAGTAGGTGCATATGATGGAGGTGTATAAACCGCACAATGGCAGATAGGGTTAAGTGGAGCTGGACAGGCCAATTAGCCCATTCTGAGACCTAGAAGGGAAACAGGTAATTAAGGATTAGACCCAGCTGGGGAGAATCAGACTGGGTGGTGTCTATAGAGGAAGGACGAATATAAAGGGAAGGACTGAGAGTGGAGAGCTATAGTAAGGTACATATCTTGGGGCTGGCCCTGAGGAAAGGAGGGTGAAAAGGTTCCAGGAAAATGACAGGGAAGCTAGAAACTTTCAAGAAGAGGCTCCTCAGCAATAGACTGGCAAGAAGCCACACAAGGAGTCATCCTTCCCAAGAGAGAGGCTTGGAAAGCATAATACTGGGAAAGGGACCTGTAGACAGATGTAGGAAGGAGCAGGTCTTCATTAGTTAAACACAGATTCCCAGGCCTGGAACCCAGAGGAGAGAGTGGCCTGGATTCCCCTACCATCTCCAGAAAAGGGGGACAGGAAAGCTTCCTGAGAAGATGAGGCAATGACTATAGACACCGGGCTGGGGCTGGTGACCTGATACGGGGCCATGGGACTCTTTACTACCCTGCAAGGAGTAAGATTATGAACAAGCTGGCTGGAGTTGTGAGAAGAGAGCAACTGCCATAGTGCAAAATTGATGTGTGGGGGAACTGAAGTGGAGTCACTGTAATGCCATGCCCCGCCATGAGGGGATGCACTGGCCAATAAGTTCACTCCATTACAGTGCTGAATTAAAAATACTTTGCAGACTATGGTGTCTTGGTACACATTTGCTGAGAGTCTGTTCCCAGCATAAGGGGGTAACGCTCCTGTGGTGGGCATTAGGCAAAAGGTGTGCAGCCTATGATGAGCAAAGGGAGCTGGGCTGGCAAGCTCTAAGAGAGCAGGGTAGACTTGTTAATACAACCCTGGAATATTAAATATTCACCTGTTCAGAATGGGATTTCCTGCCCTGGAAGGTGAATTCCAGTGAGTAACACAGAAGAAAGGCACTTACTTCCTGTAGGCCAGCTGGGATTTTAGCAAGTACAGAATCAGGAAGGCATAACTGGCTCCTTGACAGCCCGCTTCTCCTTTGCGGTGTTGAGCTGGACACATAGGAGACTATAATCTTATGAATGTAATGCTTGAATTTCTCCTCTGGATGTTCCACTTGCCAGGCAGCCTTTGGCAGAAACCTGAGCACAGTCCAGGAGCGTAGCTAGTAATTTGAAATGTGTACATACACTGCGGGATTAGCATAAAAGAGAGAGGGCAGCTCAGCTCCAGGCCCATTTAGTTGGCAGTTGCAGCAGAGGCCAAGAAGAAGTGGGCTAATTCAAAGGAGTGTCAGCTGTGGTATTTGAGCTCGCTACTAATTGCACTTAGACCACCAAACCGCTGTCCGATGCTGACAATGTTGGATCGCTACTGACCAGATCTCGACCAGTGACCTAGAATCAAATGTGCAAATGAGAAGCAGGTTCCAGGTACAGCTGGGTTTACACATGAGGAAAGATAGTAAATACTATGACTATCGAACTTCAGAAGGAGAAGATTTACAGGGGAAGGAAATAATAAAGTGTATGAAGTCTGCGGTGGCTACCACTCAGCACCATCTTTTTACCATATCCCATAGAACCAGGACCAGGGGTTCTCTTCAAGCCCCCAGGAATATTTACGACAAATAAAAGGAAATACTGCATCACATGTCACTGAACTTAATCACGGGCAATCAGAGTTTAGTACAGCAGAGAAATTTAAAAGAGTAGCTGAATAATGTAACAACCAATACCATGTGTAGATAGGAAGGAAAGTAACCACATATGCTTCGTGGGGGAAGCTGATTGCTATGAGTCTGAAGGGTATCTTCCCCTCACCTCCTTCTTCTCCCTGCCCAATGATAGCACTGCACAAATAATCAGGTGGATTATGGGTTTTTTTCCCCACATTCTGCTAGATCATCTGGTATAAACCAGTGGTAGACGTAGGAGAGAGCATGATGTCCCATTGGTCTCATTTGATACAGAAAATCTTGTTTTCCTGTGTATGTTTGTAACAGGGTGGCTGATGCTGGAGAGCCTGAGGCCAAGCCAACCCTGATTACAAAGCCCCACCTCAGGGGAATCAGGTGATTTCCTATAAAGAGTAGAAGGTGGCTGCAATAAGGGAGAGAACTAGAGGGAGAGAGGCTTCTGCAGGGAAGACCATGAGAATTGCTCCAGCTAGAAAGGGCTGGGAGTAGCTTGCTAAGGCAGGAAGGACTGTGCCCTGACCAGGGGACTGTGGGCTGTACCCAGCTGGAGAGAAGACATTTGTGTTGAGTTCTGAACTTTAATAAATCAACCCCTAAGGAGGGCTTTTGTAAGTGTTTACTTGGAGATCCAAGAAGGGAAACTGAGGTGAGGAGCTGCATGCCGGGCTGCCTTGAGGCTGTCAGGGGGCACCATGAGGTGGCCACTCATCTACAATGGTATATAACAAAATAGGTGAAAAGGCATTTCAAAGAAAAATGCTCCAGTCCATTTGAAAAAAAAGCCCTGCTCCCCTATGAGGATCAGGGCTTCTGCACTATGGGGACTGCTGGATGGAAGAGAGAGCTAATAGGGAGCTGCTGTGCATCCCTTTCTCCACCCCACTAGTGAACTGTCCTTGGATAAAACAAGGAAAGTTTTGCCTCTTCTCTAAACAATGACATGACATTTTGGTTTTAAAAACATCCATCTCCCTGTATTAAAAGCCACCTGCAAGTCACCCTTCCCCTCCTTTTCCCAAGTGGAGAAAGGCTCTTCCTTAGCTCAGCCACTCTGTGCCCTGCACATGAGCTTGTGCAGCTGAAGTATGAAATTAATACCCATCAGACAGAAGGGAGGGAAGCTCTGCTCATGGGGGTTGGAAGGAAGCCCTAGAACCCCAAGAGGGAGAGAGGATGCTGTCCAGGTAGCGAGAAGGGCAGAGAGTCCCTAGGTGCCCAGGAGAAGATGACCTCTGTCTGACACTGAGTGACTAGCAAATTCTGTCTTTATAAGCTCCTTGTGTATATATATGTTTTCTGCAAAGGAGGGAAGTGGGAGAGGAAACTGCCATTCAGTGATCAATAGGGACTCTGTGAGGTAACGAAGGGTTATGACATCAGGAGTTTGCTGGTAGGCTTGCCAGCAGGAAGTGCTTATCAAGCCAATCATCACTCACTCAATTAAGTGACACCCGGAATTAGGGTCATGCAGCTGAACCTCACACACTCTTCCATGAAAGTTTAAGATTTCAGACCCAAAACAAGGATTGGGGGGGGCGCCGTGAGGAGGAGGATTCTCCAAGCTGTCCTTCCTGCATACCTCCCCTCCATGCCATCAATTGAAGATGTCTGACAGGCGGGATTCAGAAAAAGAAAAACTCAGTACTCTTTCTGATGTGGCAAAATTCAACTACGCCTTGAAGCAGTTTCAGACACTGATTGGAAAAACAGTCGCCCAGAAGAGGGAGGAAAGATTAGGGGTGTACATTAAAGATCAGGGTAAGAGGCATTGTCTTTCTGATTGAGCGACTGTGTAATTTTGGAGTGGAGGCTGGGTAGCTAGGTGGGATGGCCCAGGATTCTACAGAAGACCCCAAACTGGCATACAGGCTATGGCTCACCTTCCCTCCTTTAAAGGGAAATATGCAGATTGTGCTAAGAAAATATTTTCCCTGATAAGCTAAAACCTACAGCAGTCTTATTCTAGCCAGATTCTGTTGCTGAGCCATTTACTCACAAAAATGTATTCTGCCTGGCAGCATCCCCACATGGTGATTCCCCATAATAGTACTTGATTAATCTTTCTGTAGTGATCTGTGTTTTTGAATGAATCAAACACATGAACCAATTAATTGTCCAAGTCAATCAATTTATATTATCATAAGTAACTCAACCTCAAGTGGGTTGTTATCACTGCAGGCCAGCAGCTTTACGTGCACAAAAAAGTCAGTTTTATCACATACTCTGTCCTCAGTATATCTCTGGGGGGCAGGTTAGCAGAATGCTGTCTTAACACCTCTCAGAGGAAGCCAGAATTGGGAGTGGAAAGTTTCCACGCCATTTTCCTTCCCACCCCGCCGGTTTTCTAGGCTGCACTGTTTGTTTGTAAATTACTTGTCAACCCATGAGATTTTTGGAAATTAAGAAGGCTGAAATATTTTTGGCAGGGATGCTAGAATGAATTCAACAAGAAGACTGAGAACTTAAACATTAATGATGCTGAAGGCGAAATCAAGCCAGGAACCAAATGTAGTATCATAGAAATGTAGGGATGGAATGGACCTCAAGAGGTGATCTAGTCCAGCACCCTGTACTGAGGCAGGCCCAAGTAAACCTAGACAATCCCTGACAGGTGTTGATCTAACCTGTTCTTAAAACCTCCAATGATGGAGATGCCACAACCTCCCGTGGAAGCCTATTCCAGAGCTTAACTACCCTTATAGTTAGAAAGCTTTTCATAATATGTAACCTAAATCTCCTTTTCTGCAAATTACACGCATTTCTTGTCCTACTTTCAGTGGACAAGGAGAACAATTCATCACCATCCTCTTTATAACAGCCCCTAGTATATTTAAAAAGTGTTATCAGGTCCACCCTTTTCCTCAGTCTTCTTTTCTCGAGATTGAACAAGCCCCCCCCTTTTTTTAAACTTTCCTCAGAGGTCTGGTTTTCTAAACCTTTTATCATTTTTGTTGCTCTCTTCTCAATGCTCTCCAATTTGTCCACATCTTTCCTAAGGTGTGGCGCCCAGAATTGGACCCAGTACTCCAGCTTAGGCCTTCTCACCAGTGCTGAGTAAAGCTGGGAAATTGCCTCCTGTGTCTTATACAAAACATTCTTGTGAATACACCTGAGAATGATATTAGCCTTTTCACAACTGCATTACATTGTTGGCTTATCTTCAATTTGTGATCCACTATAACCCCCAGATACTTTTCAGCAGTACTATTACTTAGCCAGTTATTCCCCAGTTTGTAGTTTTTCATTTAATTTTTCCTTTCTAAATTTAATATTTTGTGCTTGTCTTTATTGAATTCCATCTTGTTGAATTCAGACCAATTCTCCAATTTGTCAAGGTAGTTTTGAATTCTAATCCTGTCTCCAAAGTGCTTACAATCCCTCCCAGCTTGGTGTCATCTGCAAATTTTATAAGCATACTCTCTACTCCATTATTCCAAATCATTAATGAAAATATTGGCTAGTACTGGACCCAGGACTGACTCCTGCAGGACCCCACTAGGTAGACCCTCCCAGTTAGACATTGAACCTTTTGAGTATGGTCTTTCAAGGAGTTGTGCACCCATCTTATAGTATTTACCTCAGACCATAATTCCCTATTTTGCTTATGAGAATGTCATGTGGGACTGTGTCAAAAATTTTTCCCAAATCAAGATCTATCTCATCTACTGCTCCCCTCCTCCCGACCCCCAATCCACTGGGCCAGTCACCTTGCCAAAGAAGGAAATATGAGAAGAAACAATTTGCTAGTTCAACTCTGTTGGACTCTGATGGATTTTTTTGTTTTGTTATTCTTGTTCCAATACAGATGAAATAGATTATGATACATTCTATGAGACAGTACAAACCCTCTTTGGTCCAGAAGTGAAGGATCAAGATGTTAAGACCTTTTTCAGGAAGATTAGCAACAACCCTGATGGAAGGATAGAATGGTGTGAGGTAAGGTTTATATATAATCTGAAATAGTGATATGCCAGGTTAATTTACGCAAGTATGTAGTCATTGATACCATGGAATAAGAATGGATTCATGGAGAATGTACATAATCAAAGTGACATTTCCATGCCATTTATTACTGCTTCTATAAATCTTTCATCTGCTACAGGCCAAAACACTTTTTTAAAAAAGGATCTGGCTTTAAGTCTAGATGGAAAATTAGCTAAAACTATTGTTCTGGTTGGTTAGAGACTCAGTGAGAGGCAAATGTGAAGGACTGGCTTAGGGCATCTTGTTTGTAATAATATGAGCCTTTAGCCAAGATGTTAACAAAACCCAATAATAAATACAATTTTGACAAGCTGAGAAAGAAAGAGGAAGCATATATATTTTAGTTTGGTGGTGAACAGTTAAAAATACATGAACAGCCAACAATCATAGGGACAAATTTTGCCTTTGGATGCACACAAGTCTCCAATGAGAGCATACACATTGCAGGAGAGGGGAGCTAAATGTATCCCTTGGACTTTTTCCTCTCTAAAATCTGCTCTCACTTGAGGTGTTATTAAATATATCAGGGTCAAAACTTCCAAAATGCTGAGCATCTGCTGCACGATACTGACTTGCTAGCTCCCATTGATTGGGAGGGGTTAGTGCCTTGAAAGATGTGACCCTTTTGGTGCTGTGTGTTAGGGGTACAATAAGCATTGTTCAGGGTAAAATTTAACCAACAAATACCATGCTCCTAGGTGCAAAAATTAACATATAAGGCTTGGCTCTGCCCTCAGGAAAAATCTAGCTTCCATGGGAGTTGTACTTCTGTATGAAAATGCAAGTTGGACCCAAACTCTCACATTTAGGTACCTGAATGAGTATGTAGGTGCTCAGATACTTCCTGTAAAGGACTGGCTGCCTTGTGGGTGTGTCATGAGGATTCATTAACTCTTACAGCAGGGACAAATTTGGCTCTTTAATTATTAAATGGAAAGGGTTAGAGAAGTGGCGGCATTTTAACTGAAAGGTGCTTAATCATTGAATTGCCATGGTTATTACTGAGCCTATACCAAAGAAGTATATGATTCTAAATAAAAATATTCATGCAAAATAGCTTTACAAGCAGCCATTCTGTGTAGGATGTCTAGCTGTATGCTGTAGCCAACCTATGCCAACTGTACCCATGATATCCTATTGCCATAAGATTTTAATCTTCCACTTGGACAACTACCAGAGCTGGGCACTAGGGACCTGATAATACCTAATAGTGCCTTTCCTAGGATTGCACTGTCAGCATTGGCTATATGGGCTCAGACTTATTTGACTGCCCTTGTGGCCCAGAGGGACAGTGTTACTAACTAAACCATGTTATAAATTCAACAGGCAGACTTCTTAGTTACTCTGGAACATCAAATGATGTTTAGTGATCTCTGAGCTACCCAGCTCTTAGCCTTTGATAATCCATACAGAACATCTTCATATAATTTTCTAGTACCACCGCAGCGGCAACGCGTTTGGTCCTGACAGTCTGGTAAAAGAGCTTCCATCCTAGAGTGATTCTATCAAGTCCACGACTTAAATATTTTTGCTTGTGATTTTGTTCTTTATGATATCACTCTACTAACAAATTATTCTCAGGTCAACTGTGTGTGTCAAGACCAAAAAAAAAAAAAATGCTTCACATTATCTGTAGGGCTTGGATGAAAGCTATGATATGGTTGGCTGAAGAGGCTTCCAAACATCATGTAGTTAACTTCCAGTCAATGTACTTGAATTGACAGGGCCTTTTTATCCGCTAGGTCTTTAAATCTTGACCAACCTTTTTGTTACAGCATTCACCGAGTGAAAAGTAAATGTAAAACTTTTCTCCCTGCATGTCCTCCCCTTACATTTCTTCCTTCTTGCCGCCTCTCTTAAGATGAGATTTGAAAGGAGAAGCTGTTGCTAACCGTCTCTCTCCAGTTTTCCTTTGAAACTCTGCTAGCAATAGAAAAGAAGACAATGGGCATTTTCAGTGTTACAAGTACATGGTGCACAAGAAACGGGTTCTTGAAATAGCCAGTGGTGTTAAGAAATATACCAGCTACACTATAGGAGTAGCCAAATTCTAGTCTCTGCAAGAACCTCTGCATCACTTCAATCTTGTAGTACCCCTTTGCAACGGGAGCGGGGGTGCAGGCAGAGTGACTAAACAAATGGGCCTCTGCACTTCCTGTATACTGCTGAGGCAGACTTCACACCTATCCTAAACAGAGCAGCATGGAGAGGACCAGGTGGCAGCAGCCTGGGGAGGATGTACTAAATCCATGGTTTAAGAGAAAGTGAGCCTTGCACAGGGACGGTGGAAGGGTAGGAATGGCTATTCAGGCCCCACAGCTGATATAGTGGCAGTGTAGGAGGGGTTGTGCTGGGGAGAAGGGTGAATTCCAGCTTCCCCATCCTCCCAAACTTTAGCTTGATCGCCACTTAGTCAGAATATGTTCCTGGGAGGGGTGAATTTTGCCTGAGAGTGTAATTCAGCCAATAATTGGGTTAAGGCTGTTGTAAAAGAGTACAGGGAAAATGAAAATAACAAAATGACAACCAACATTACCCACGTACATTAGGGAAAAGATTTTAAATTACTCAGCGCATCTTCATTACTTCCCTTTACAACAGCACTGAGAAAAAAAATGGTTTGATGTACAATTTTTTGGCACATTGTGCCAGGGCCGGTTCTAGGATTTTTGCTGCCCCAAGCAAAAAAAATTTTGGCCACCCCCACTTTTTTTTCCATACCCCCCCGCCCCCGGCTCCGCCCCAACTCCGCTCCTTCCCAACCCCTTCCCCAAATGCCCGGCCCCTCCTCCTCCCCCAGGTGTGCCGCATTTCCCCCCCATTACTTCCTGCTTCTTCCCCCCAACCCCCTGCCCTAGCTCACCTCCCCTCCGCCTGCTCCCCTGAACATGCCACTGCTCTGCGTCTCCCCCCCCTTCTCAGGCGAGGGAGAGGCAGCGCGTTCAGGGGAGCAGGTGGAGTGGAGGTGAGCGAAGGTGGGGAGGGAGCGCAGGAAGTAACGGTGGGGGTAGAGGAACCGCTCCCCACCCCAGCTCACCTCCACTCTACCACCGCCGCCTCCCCCGATCGTGCCACCGCTCAGCTTCTCCTCCCTCCCTCCCAGGCTTGCCGCGCCAAACAGGTGTTCCGCGTGAGGCAAGCCTGGGAGGGCGGGGGGAGAAGCAGAGTGGTGGCGGTGCACTCAGGGGAGCAGGCGGAGGTGGAGCGGAGATGAGCTGGGGTGGCGGGGGCACATTTCTAGGGGCAGCATGTCTGGCACTGGAATGCCGCCCCTAGAACTGTGCCACCACAAGCTAGTGCCTAGAGCCGTCCCTGCACTGTGCGCAAGAGGGGATAGCCGTTGTTAATGTACTCACCACTGTTATTAAAAGGTGGATGCAAAGGGACTAAAAGAAATGAAAGAACATAGGAATGTTAATGAAGGCTGCTATTCATCAGCCAACCATGCTTCAGGTGGTAAAAAAGACCAGTCCTGCTGGATGAGGTTGTGCATTTGGTTTGGTGAGGCCTTTTTAGCCCGCACTGGAACAGCATTTAACATTTCCTTCTTGAGAGTTGTACATCTTAAAACTTGATGCAGAACAGAGGATTCCTGGGCGCTCTGGGGAGCAGATGCACGAAGGGGTTATTTTGTTAACTGAGGTGTTAACAATGTCCGGAGCAATCATAGAAACATAGAATATTAGGGTTGAAAGGGACCTCAGGAGGTCATCTGTCCAACCCCCTGCTCAAAGCAGGACCAATCCCCAACTAAATCATCCCAGCCAGGGCTTTGTCAACCCTGACCTTAAAAACCTCTAAGGAAGGAGATTCCACCACCTCCCTAGGTAACGCATTCCAGTGCTTCACCACCCTCCTAGTGAAAAAGTTTTTCCTAATATCCAACCTAAACATCCCCCACTGCAACTTGAGACCATTACTCCTTGTTCTGTCATCTGCTACCACTGAGAACAGTCTAGACCCATCCTCTTTGGAACCCCCTTTCAGGTAGTTGAAAGCACCTATCAAATCCCCCCTCATTTTTCTCTTCTGCAGACTAAACAATCCCAGTTCCCTCAGCCTCTCCTCATAAGTCATGTGTTCCAGTCCCCTAATCATTTTTGTTGCCCTCCGCTGGATGCTTTCCAATTTTTCCACATCCTTCTTGTAGTGTGGGGCCCAAAAGTGGACACAGTACTCCAGATGAGGCCTCACCAATGTTGAATAGAGGGGAACGATCACATCCCTCAGTCTGCTGGCAATGCCCCTACTTATACAGCCCAAAATGCCGTTAGCCTTCTTGCAACAAGGGCACACTGTTGACTCATATCCAGTTTCTTGTCCACTGTAACCCCTAGGTCCTTTTCTGCAGAACTGCTGCCTAGCCATTCGGTCCCTAGTCTGTAGCGGTGCATGGGATTCTTCTGTCCTAAGTGTAGGACTCTGCACTTGTCTTTGGTGAACCTCATCAGATTTCTTTTGGCCCAATCCTCTAAATTTGCCTCTAAGTCCCTCTGAATCCTATCCCTACCCTTCAGCGTATCTACCACTCCTCCCAGTTTAGTGTCATCTGTAAACTTGCTGAGGGTGCAATCCACACCATCTTCCAGATCATTTAGATATTGAACAAAACCGGCCCCAGGACCGACCTCCACTTGATACCGGCTGCCAACTAGACATGGAGCCATTGATCACTACCCATTGAGCCCGACGACCTAGCCAGCTTTCTATCCACCTTATAGTCCATTCATCCAGCCCATACTTCTTTAACTTGCTAGCAAAAATACTGTGGGAGACCGTACCAAAAGCTTTGCTAAAGTCAAGGAATAACACGTTCACTGCTTTCCCCTCATCCACAGGGTCAGTTATCTCGTCATAGAAGGCAATTAGATTAGTCAGGCATGACTTGCCCTTGGTGAATCCATGCTGACTGTTCCTAATCACTTTCCTCTCCTCTAAGTGCTTCAGAATTG